AATAGGCGGGAGGTCTAGCCAATCAGGGTCGCGTATTCCACCCATACAGTCTTTAGCCATGGGATAAATGGTGCCGTTACCGTCCCTCAAAATGATGGGGCTCTCCTGAGGACGCAAAGATGAGAAAGTTAAAACGGGTGTACAGAGAAACGCATGGAACGCATCAGACTGTGTGATGTCTCACCTGGCCAGCAGTGAAGATGGCCACGTTACGCTCATTCTGGCCCAGAAAGGCCAGATTACTAGTGGGGAAGTGATTCTCCTGCTCGGCTTTGCCGGTGGCCAAGTCAAAGACACAGTACCGTACCCAGCTGCCTGTTTTCAACACAGCATGAACTCCTGCAGGACGAAAGACAGCAGAGCAGTCAAGCAGACGCACAGGGTAAATTCACAACAAAATGTGAGAGAAAAATTTAAGCAATAGCCACCTTTGGAGTCAACATTCACGGCTAAAATTTCAGCTTTTTCTGGGATACAAAGCTTTTTAGGAGTGCGCTGAAAACAGTCTGGAACTTTTGGCGTTCCACCAGTTTTAACAACCTGTTCAAAAGAGAAGAGAAATGCCTCTCAGCTAAAAATTCACCCAGATTTGTTTTCATTTTTCACAATATTTATATAGACAAGGGGTTTTCAAACTGGGGACCGGAAAGAGGTGCTGGGAATCTGTGAAAATTTGAAAAAACTATACAAAATATATATATTTTGAGGTTTTCTCAAATGTAATATAAATTTTTATATATATTGTTTTATACACACACACACACATATATACACACACACAAACAGAGTGGGTATAGAAAAGAATCACCCCCCTTTAAAATAATCCCATTTTGTTGCTTTGCAGCCTGAAATAAAGACGGGCAGTTTTTGTTTTATCCAGCTGTATTTACTTATAACTGCAACTTATAACATCCAAGTGAAAGATAACAGGAAAAAGTAAGAAACTGAGTTGGAAAAAGGATCACCCCTTAGATATACAGCTGGATAAAACAAAATGGGATTATTTTAAAGGGGGTGATTTTTCTCTATACCCACTGTATAAAACAGCAAAAAAAACAAAATAAGATTTCACAAAACTATGTGTTAATTTTTAAAGAAAAAATATTAATCTCACATACGCGGTCAACTTAATAAAAGTAGATATTTTCAGTCAAATGTTCAGAATAAAAGTAAATCATTTAAATTTAGAAAATTAATTTAAATAATAAAATAATGTAAATAATATATTTACTTTTTGTCGTCTTTATTTTGTTTTATTTTATTTCTTTATTTTTTAGAAAGGATGTTTCTTTGCAAAGTAATCATCATATTTAGGGATCCTTGGCATTAAAAAGTTTGAAAACCCCTGATATAGACAGATTCAATACCAATTGTTCATGTATATTTGTTGACAATTCACAGCCAGAGACCGTTTAAAAATAATTTGGACCTACATCATTTAAGCCACATATTTCAGTTTCAGACCGAGTCACCAATTATTGTATTACTTTGTATGAAATGCAATATGTTAAGTAGTGACTATTAAAAATAAAACTATTTCTTCATCAAAACAGCATTTTGAATTATGCATCAATGTTTCAGCAAATGCAAGAGCGTGTTTTTGTGCGTTTACCTGTAGCTCATCTATTCTGAGCAGTCGACAGTCTTGCAGCAGTGAGGAGGGGTCAGAGTCAGTGGGAGCTGCGCTCTGGCTGCTCACGCTGCTCGACGTCCCTGGAAATTTCACAGCAACATATGCACCATCGACTTTTAGCACCTTGAGTTCAAAAGAGAGAACTGTTGCAAATGAGGTGTCATAGCAAAGCATCACACACAGACCAGAGACAAAACACAGACAGGAACGTCACACGTCAAGAAACACAGTATGCTTATCGATCATCATTGGTAATTCTTATTAGATTAAAAGGTTGCAAAAATGCAGACAATAAATCAAAAAACTGGAGAAAATAGGCTTGTAGTTTCAGTCTCCACTGGATCGACGTGTACGCCAGCACCCACCTTTCCCACGGGGACGTTTTTAACGTCCTCCACGAAAACGACCTCTCGTAGAGGCCACTGCTCTTCATTGACTTTCTCCTCCTCCTTTGGAGCCGGCGTTGAGCGCCTACGCTCTGTAGCACAGCAGGTAATCAGTTAGCAATGGCAAAACACTGCAGCCAAGTATCTTTTGGTGTCTCACAGAAGACCAAACAGAAATGTTTAAACAGTTCAAACTACTTATTTAATAACTACTTATTTAATGCCACGCCAGCTTCCTTGGCTATTTTCATGGCGAGTAACAAGGCTACATTTAGTAATTTAGCAGATGCTTTTATCCAAAGCGACTTACAAATGAGAACAATAGAAGCAATCAAAACCAACAAAAGAGCAATAATATGTAAGTGCTTGACAAGTGTCGGTTAGTCTAACGTAGTACACGTAGCAAGGTTTTTATATATAATAAATAAAAAGAAAACGGATAGAATAGAGAACGCTAGTATGAATAAGCAATACAAAAACCTATACATAAACTCTAAAATGGATTCAGGGTTGACGCTGTTAAAAATTTCTTCAAGGGTGTTAGCAGAGTAATATAATTTCCTAAGAGAACTTAAAGCAGCACAGTTTAATAAAATATGTTTCAAAGATGTGAGGAAGGCCATGATTAGAAAGCAAACAACAGGCTTCACATGCAAACAAACCGAATTAAATGCAGCGCACATCCAATTGGGCAAGTGACTATTGCATTTACACACTGATTTACACTGCCATCCTTATTGCCTTATTGTTGCGTCATAACTAGGACACTTCTATTATGGAAAAATGTGTGAAATGACAGTAGAAATGCACACATACAGCAAAAATACATCTTCGAAACAATTTTCACTCAGAAATAGCACTTTTTTTTTCTTTTACAAATAAAAGCAAGTAACACATTGAATTAAACATGAAATTTTGAGGTAGAAACACTGAAACTGTATTTTCTTGTAAAACATACTTTTTTTTGTTTTATTAACGACTTACAGGTTAGTTGTAAATAATAAAAAAAGATTACTGCAGCACTTTTTACAAGAAACCACTATTTTAGGTTTTGTACTTCAAAACCTCACATTTAGTTCAATTTGTCACTAGCCACTTCTTTGTAATTGTTTGAGAAGTTTACTTGCAATTTCTGAGCGAAAATTCTTTCTACATCAAATTTTTAGGTCAATATAAACCCTGCACAACAATGATCATGATTTTAACAGTAAAAATGCTACAGTAAAAACCTGTTAATTGGTTGACTAAGTTTCCATACCATATATGGTGAATAACTGTAATAACATTGAATGTTATTTTACAATAAAATACTGTTAAAATTACGGTTTTTGGAAGTGAAAAAGAAAGTCATTTTATAATTTACAGTGAAAAACCGTAAAAAATTTACTCCCAGAATTCCCTGCATGACACTTCATATTTGATGTTTTTACGCTGAAATAACAGTTTTAGTTTTTTCTTATCAGTTGTGTACATTAAGGTTTTATCTTACACCTAATGTTGTTAAATGAATGCTTATTGCTTTATTTCAGCATAATGCGTGTTACCATGATGGTGTTTAGTGTTTGTGTGAATCACTGTGTGCATCTTCCATATAATATAAAGTATTTCCGTCCTCAGCTTGTGGAAAAGCTGTTTGTGATGAGCTTTGATTCATCATGTGACTTTCTCATCACCACCTGTTTTTGGTGGTTATCAGTGTATTACAAATGGTTCAAAACAGATATTAGTACTTCAATAGGTTGGTATATTAACATTACATCAGTTAATGAAATACGTTTTTTTATTGTGAATTTAAGTCAAGTCTGTGAAACCTAAAATGTTGCAACCATATTTTTCACGGAGTTCTGGCAACTACAGCTGACGGTATTTTACCGTAAATGTCACCGATTTTTTTTTCACAGTGCAGTGTACGTACTGTAGGGCAGAGAAGCGCTGCTGGCGATGGAGGAAGTGTCACTGCATGTGGACGCTGGTGAGGGAGGAGGGCCCATTTCCGTCTTCACCAGCTCTGGCTTGCTCTCCGTCCTGATGGCAAGAACAAGCACAACCAATAGCACATTATTTTTAGCATAAATGCCTCCATGCATGTGTTTGGTGACAGAAAAACAGTCATCTTACTTGGTCTCCTGCGTCTTTGTGTTCTTCTCCATGTTCTTCAGGCTCTCGGGCGAGCGGAGCTGGAAGCGGCAGCTGTCATTCATGTTCCACACGGACTCCAGCAGAACGCCCACTTTAGGGATCCCGGCGTTTACGGAGAAGGCCACGGCACCAGCGTGATATAGAGGGTTATTCCTCAGGCACACCTACGGGAAAACGTGACGTCATCACTGTAATACTCAATTGGGGTGGGCATTATGGCAAAAATATATCATGTTTTTCATGATCCACAAACATGCATCACAATTCTGTTGACTATTTTGCATGTTTGTGAACCGTACCAAACTAATTACGCTATTTAAAAATGACAAATGTGACCCTGGACCACAAAACCAGTCATAAGTAGCACGGGTATATTTGTAGCAATAGCCAACGATACATTGTATGGGTCAATTTCAATTTCATTATCAATTTTATTTTATGGCAAAAATCATTAGGATATTAAGTAAAGATCATGTTCCATGAAGATATTTTGTAAATTTCCTACCGTAAATATTTGTAAAAATGTATTTATCATTAGTAATATGCATTGCTAAGGACTTCATTTGGACAACTTTAAAGGCGATTTTCTCAATATTTTGATTTTTTTTTGCACCCTCAAATAGTTGTATCTCAGCCAAATGTGACCCTGGACCACAAAACCAGTCATAAGTGTCAATTTTTCCATTGATGCATGGTGTGTTAGGATCAGACAATATTTAGCTGAGATACAACTATTTGAAAATCTGAAATCTGAGGGTGCAAAAAAATCAAAATATTGAGAAAATCATCTTTAAAGTGGTCCAAATGAAGTTCTTAGCAATGCATATTACTAATCAAAAATGAAGTTTTGATATATTTACGGTAGGAAATTTACAAAATATCTTCATGGAACATGATCTTTACTTAATATCCTAATGATTTTTGGCATAAAAGAAAAATCGATAATGAAATTAAAACTGACCCATACAATGTATCGTTGGCTATTGCTACAAATATACCCGTGCTACTTATGACTGGTTTTGTGGTCCAGGGTCACATATGTCAACAACTAGACTTTATCGTTATTATCGCGGGAAGACTCATTCTTATCGTGGGGAGAATTTTTACCCATTTATCGCAAACGATAAGATATTGCCCATCCCTACTGGCCATTCAAGTGCAATAACCAATCACCACAGTAATGTATAGTAACATCACAAAAAAAGACAAACGAGTTTGCAGTCAACAACAATAGCATGTTCCTGACCTGAGTTCCTACAGTGATGTTGGGTATAGAAGAGATGCCTGCACTGGACTTTGGTTTCTTGTTCTTGGCTCTGGCCTTCTCAAGCATCTTTTTCCTCTGACTAAAAGGCACAACACCCCTAGAGGAAAAAGAAACTCAGAATTTATTCACAGATCACAAGCACAACGGCTCAAACTATCAGACATGATCCTGCCTGCTCACCACCAGTAAAGGCTGCTCTCCAGCTGGGCGCAGGTGTACAGGGCACAGCAGTGCAGAGAGATGATACGCTCTCCCTGCAGCTCCGGGAACATTTGTGCGCCATGTTCCAGTTTAGCAGCAACAGTGCTCAGAGTTTCATCCACCCATGTCGCCACCTACACAATACAAGTTAATGTAAATCTGACATTTTTTGGTACTAAAGCGTGCATCACTCATCTTATTGTATCCACTTGCTCCTTCCTATGATTTCCTTCTCACCCACTCACATGAAAATAAATAAAATGTTTTCTTACCTTGTTGCTTTCGGTGGCCACAGTGGCTCGGATACTGTTTGCAGACAGGTGGGTGATCTTTTCATTAGTCAAGCCCAGGAAAAGGACACGAGGGTGATGTATAGAAGGATTCTGCGAATGCGCAAAGATTTATGAGATTCAATTCAATCAAATCAAAGTGACAGGAATTCCTTGTCCGATGTGTATTGCAAATCTTACTTGTGCGTTTCTGTAAGGTTCGGGCTCATTCCACTTCCACTGGTACAGTTCACCTTTGGTACTGACGGCAACCATCTCCGAGTACAAAGCCCCAATGCTGACAAACTTTGTTACATAGTCCTAAAGGATCACACAACAAAGGATATGCAGCAACTCAGCAACTACACAAATATGATTCATCACATAAATGAACCCAAGGAAATTGGAGGCTAATAATCAAAAGTGTTACCAGAACAGACTGGCAATTAAGTCAAAAGGTCAAATAAGGATGTGCAAAATTAAAAGCAGAACTTTTTAATAAGTCTAGTTAAAAACACTCAAGTTCTTAGAAAACGCAATCTGATATTGGTTTCTGAAACTTGTTTATAAGACTTAAAAGTTTATTGAATGACTCTAAAAATCAGGGTTATTATTGTCAATTAAAAATAAAACGAACTAAAACAAAAAAGCATTTTCGTTACTTGAAATAAAATAACGGTTAACAAATAAACTAGAATTAAAACTTGATTTTATTTCAGCTAGCTGCCTAAACAACATTTCTCATTTTCGTTTAATTTAACCTGAAGTACTAAAATAACTAAAACTTAAATAAAAACGTAAAAAAGAAAAAAAATTTTTTTTACTAACTTTAAAACTGATGAAAAATTTATATAAATACAAAAAAATTTAATTAAAAACCTAATCATTATTTTAAAATTAAAATATTCTGATACACAAATTAACAAGTTATGCCACTTAACATGTGAAACTGCAATAATCTTGCAATGTCATAAAAAGCCAAATACATTAAAAAAAAACTTTTCCTTGACATCCAGTTATAGGAATCTAAATGGGTTTTATAGTAATCACATCACAACAAAATGGATGTTGCAAACACCACACTGACTGACTATAATACAAATAATATTTTAAAGCAAAACCGCTCTACTATTTCTTTTAAAGAAATAAAACATTATGCCAAACTACTTTTACCTCAAATATTTCAGCCTTTTAATGAGACTTCACAAAAAAAGAAACTGAATGCAGAGAGCATGTTCATCATCACTGACCCTTAAAGGGATAGTCCACCCAAAAATGTTGCTCCAAACCTGTATGCATTGCTTTCTTCTGCAGAACTCAATAGAAGATATTTTGAAGAATGTTCGGTTCCCCATGGACGTCCATATAAATGGAAACCAATGGCAACGGTAACCGAATGTTTGTTTACCAACGTTCTTCAAAATATCTTCTTTTACATTCCCAGAAGAAAGAAAGAAATACAGGTCTGAAACTAAATGACGATCGAATTTACATTTTTGGGTGAACTATGCCTTTAATTGTGTCAAGACTTAAAATGCACCACAGAAATCGGAAGTCTCCCAATCTAGGACACTGAAGGCTTAAAGGCCCACCTTATCAGGCCACCACTGGAGCTCTTCGCCCAGAGTGACGGGGCTCTGCAGCGGCACGGTCTTCTTGTCAAGGCTGGGCTCTCCCTCGCGGCTGGTGGAGCCACGCTCCGCATCGAAGGAGGCTCCATCCAGCCACCTCCTCTCGCGCAGCCTCAGGACCGACTCCCGCTCACGGAGCAGTTCAGAGTCTCGCTCTAGGGGGAGAAGGAGAACTGGTATGCAATAGGGTCACACCAGTGGGATAACAGTAAGCCACTCTCTGGGAAAGACCCTCGGAATAGTGAGATTTCATACAAGTTACAATTACTTCAGTCTAATGCTACTGTACTTCTGTGACACCAACCACCAAAAACAACTGTCCATTATGCTGTAAATATGACACTGCGGGATCCATGGACCATTTGTGACCCTGGAGCACAAAACCAGTCATAAGTGTCAATTTTGTCGAAATTGAGATTTATACATCACCTGAAAGCTGAATAAATAAGCTTTCCATTGATGTATGGTTTGTTAGTTGTATCTCGGCCAAATATTGTCCTATCCTATTTGAAAATCTGGAATCTGAGGGTGCAAAAAAAAAAAAAAATCACAATATTGAGAAAATCGCATTTAAAGTTGTCCAAATTAAGTCCCAAGCAATGCATATTTCTAATCAAAAATTACGTTTTGATATATTTACGGTAGGAAATTTACAAAATATCTTCATGGAACACGATCTTTACTTAATATCCTAATGATTTTTAGCATAAAACAAAATTGATAATTTTGAGCCATACAATGTATTTTTGGTTATTGCTACAAATATACCCCAGCGACTTAAGACTGGTTTTGTGGTCCTGGGTCACATTTAGGTAATGATCCATATTTTATTAAAAGTAAAACAGGGCTACATATGGACGCTGTACAGGCTGGCTTTGTCAGTTGGTGGGTCGCATTAGAAGCAGAAACATCTTGTTGACGGGGGTGTCCAGCATGTACAGGTATAAACTGCAGGGTCTTATGGGTAACTGTCAGCACTGCAGGGCCTTTCGCAGAGGGCTCACTAAGGGAAACAACGACTATGACCATGCAGGACAACTGGACACGATCTCAAATCACAGACACGCACACACAACACAAATATGCAGCAAGGTATCTTGAATAGGCATGGGCCGGTATGAGATTTTGACGGTATGATAACCTTAAGCAAAAATATGTAATTGTTGTTACAGCTCTAAAATGTTAATTTGAAATGTCTGGGTTAAAAAATAAATAAAATAAAAAAAACTCAACACAATATATTTTGAGCAACACACAGAATATTTGGAACAGTAGTATTTGTTTATTTCTTCTTTGATTTGTTTCTGAAATGTGGGCTGTCCTGCAGCTTTTGATGTGGATGTTTGATTTGCTGCTAGAGCTACTGCTGCCCACAGCTTTAATGTGAATTATACAAGATGAAAAGATAATACCATCTAAACGTTTCTGAAGACAGTCAGTTCCCCTCAGAAACACATTCATAT